CTGGGAGATCAGCAATTTAAGTCTAGGGTTCCAGGTGAGATCTTCTTGTCCCTGGATAGTTCCCCCTTGAATCAGGATTTCCCATTCCGTGGGGGCTCTGATTTTTTGGATGGAACAAATTGTTTCAACTATCCCCTCCATGAATTCCAGAGGGGAGAAGTTTTTTAAGAAAGGCTTGTATTAAGATGATTTGGCAGGTGCGCAACCTGCTGGAATAAGCGCAAACGTGTTTTCAACACACAAAACCGGAAATGCACACACTTTCAACAATTGTACACAATGTCGTTGAAAAGATTTCTTTCTTGCGAATTTTTAGAACTTTTGAGTTGGAATTCCTTGCGCGGAGTGTCGCAGCAACGGCGTTTTCAGTCTGATGATGGGCGCTCCAAAATGGTCTGCTTTTTATATGCTTCTTGTCTTCTGGCTTGGTCCTGGGGTTTTTCAGTTTCTAACGTTGAGGACTTCCGCCGGATCCCGGTAAATTCGGCCCAACTGTCTAGTGGGCTAATTTATCGGGACACGGCAAATTAGAACTGAGTTTTTCATTCCCCAAGAATTTGGATTTTTGGGATGAGCTCAAAAATCCTTGAAAAGGACTCGTGGGAAGAGGATATCCCTCTTTTGGAACAGAATTCAACACGGCCCTTTGCCGTTTTTTTCCAAGTGCCAACACTCCAAGCGTCAAATTCCCCTTTGTGTTTTGGGGTAATTCAGTCCTCATAAAACAGAGGAAACCCCGTCATTTTTAGAGGGGGGTTATCTCCTTCAGGGCGGCTTAACTGCCGCCAGATGTCTTTTGCCATTCGTCTTTCGGCACGCCAATCGGCGTGCCGACTATTTAGAAATATAATCCCGAAGTTCGAACTTCGGGAAAATGGTCAGTAATTTGGCGTCGAAAACATGACACAAGAGTTGTCTCGGCCATAATTCTTCACAACTTGGAAGTACAGTACTGTTCTTACACTGTATTTCACAATATTTATAAAGACAGAATAAGTTGTATTTATGCGTACATTTTATGTATACTGTACAGTTCTTTCTCCAAGCTTTCTTGGAGTTTTTATCAGGTTCGATATCATGTAGAAATCACCCCTGTTTCCAGGAAAGCTCCCACTTTTTACTCACGATTTTCAGTTAATGAAGATGTCATGTACCAAAAAACTATTTTGTTATTTTATTAATGTAAATTCAGTACTACTGTACAGTACTGTAATGTTTTTAAGATTGTCCTTACTTTTAATGTGAACATGAGTTTGTGATTCTCAATAATGAGCATATGATATTGCTTTAAAAATGCCTTTTAATTTCTTTGAATTTGGCTGGTTAGTCAACCAACTCAAGGCGAATTTCGTGACACTGGAGATGACACTGAATTGGGATTTAAATTCCTAACACATTGCAAGGGAATTTTTTGCATTACGCTAGGGTGACACTAAATCCAGGGTTAAAATATTATTTTTTCAGGTACTCTTTGAATATGAAGAACAATGGCTACGCCTCGGGGGGTTCCACCATGAACTCCATCAGGTCTTCATCCACCAACAGCCACCATTATGCAATCGTCCATTCACGTCCTGAAAGCAGATACTCTGGAGTGAAGCAACTCAAATCCAGTCCCATCAGGGAAACCCATTATGCAGGCCCCATCTAAAAAAAAAAAAAGCTGGAAAACTCAGCAGTGCCACAGTCCTTTCTTGCTGGAAAAAAAAGCAAAGAAAACACTAAGACCAATGTTTGAAGTAACTATTTTTTGTATGGGTTTGTGTGTACATTTTCAAAGATGGTGCAGTGCCCGAGAATGTGATAAAAAAAAGAACTTGACTCGAGTGTTGAGAATGTTTCACACAAGAGGTCACTCCTTGCTGTGTGTCCAGATGTCGCTTCCTGTCTTCCTGTGTTTTTTTTTTTGGAGGAGGAGAAAAAAAAGCTTGAGTCATAGCTTTTTTGTTTTCCAGGACAAGAAGCAACGGAATCAGTGAGAATGTGTAAATGAGAATACTTGTCTGGCACTGGGAAAAGAAAAGAAAACCTTTGTTGACACTTTTGACCATGAGATTTAATCTTTTACTTGTTTGCATGTCGAACATTTGTGTTGGAAGTAAAAAAAAAAGAAAACTTTCGACTTGAATTACTGTCCTTTTTTTGGAAAACTGACTTGGGGAAGATAAACAATTGCATCACTTTTTGATGGGATGGGAACTGAATGTGATAAGATGAGTTGATATGAAGAAGCCAGTTTTTTGCTGAATGAATCAGTTGGGGATCTTCGGTGACATTTAAAAGATGGTCAAGACAGGGATGTATTTTATTTTTGCTTTCTTTGTGTTGGCTTCTGTTTCTCAAGCATATGTGGAACAATTATTTGAAAATGAGGTGAGTTGATGTTCTCTAACTTTGATTAAAACTCGACTTGAGTCTGAATATTTGCTCTCAATATATAGAGATAGAAAATTTTGATCCCTCCTGACCTGAGGATTTTTTTGGACAAAAAATATCATTCAATGCAAGGTTTTTTCCATTAGTTGTTTCAGACCTGCGTTTCCCTTGTTGAGAGACTTTTTCAATTTCTTTCAAGTATTTATAAGCGACTCGTGAATATTTTGACTTTTTCTGGAGAAATTTCTGTATTATTTGAATAAATTATGAAACTTCAAATGGGTGAAGCTGGAAGTTTCTTGACTCAAATATCGTTAAAAATATTCATAAAGTAATTTCTCAAATGTGACGCTGTTCTCTCAAGACGTCAGCTTGAACACCAAAACTATACCTGACCTCACCAAAAAAAAACTCTCTTCGATCTTTTGTTTTATGGATTGATTTCTTGAAATCTTTTAAAATTATTTCTATGTCTAAAAAAATGGCATTCCGTTGACAATTTTCCAGCAGATTGAAGAAAAGACGATATAATGATGGAAGTGCGTGAGATTCGCAATTTCCTCCTGTGAAACTTTTGTTCGGCCAATTTTTCTCATGCAACCTGAAATTTCTGTGAACAATTATAAACATGGTGTCGTGAACAATAATTAGTGCATTATTGTATGTTTATTTTTGCAAATTTTTTCCCGCTGTGAAATAGTATGAAATTATCAACATGTTTTTCCTTGAAGCACTCGTTATTTCAAGAAATTTGATTTGAGATCATTTTATATTTTCAGTATCGAGTTTTCCCTCTATGCGCAGCTCAAAAGAAAATACTCGAAGCTGTCTACTTAATGACACACGGTCGTGCACCCGATATATTCGCCGACGATGACGTCGATTTTCACGATGAGACTCCCAGAAAGACTTCCAGCAGAAGGAAATCATCAAAGAAATTTCAAAACAAAAAAAACTTCAGGGCAAGAACAAGCAAAAATCTTCGACAAATGAAGCAGAAAAGACTGGCACAAAGACATCGTCGGCATCATCTTATTCACTGATTCGAAAATTTGAAAATGAGTTTCCCCGGAAAGGAAACTTACTTGAAAGGGAAAACGTTGGAGCGTCATTTCAACTGGTTTCTTTATCTGTGAAAATGCTTAATGGAGTTGGAATAATTTCAAGGCTTTTTTCTGGAGTTCATTGACTGTTGATCTGTTTACTTTAAACTGGCGGAATGTTGTTCTCCGAATCCTCTGAATAAATTGGGGAACATGAATCATTTATTGCCTGAAACTGATATACTGTACGATATATTAAAAAACTAAACACCACACGTATTCAAAAATCAAAATTACCTAGATGTCACTATCACATCTGCTCACAAATTCTACGGAGTACTGTACAATATTTGTAAAAAATGTTGTACCGAAAGCAATATAAAAGTTTTCTCGCATTTGCGAACAAACCGCCTCAACATGGTTCGAGAATTGAGAGTCGCAACGCATGAGACACACAAATTAGAGTGACATCTAGGAAACTCATTGAAATATAAGTTAATGAGGGTTTCAGCTTGTTAAATTCAGATGTCACTGTAAATCATCATGAGTATTGCACAATTGATCGTTCGTTTTTACAGTACAGTCTACAGTATTGTGAGACGGAAAATTGTTTAAATGTTTTTAACAGATGTTGCTCCTGCATGAAGTCCCACAGGTACCCATTATAATATATTTTTTCTGCATTTTTGGTCAAAAAAAAATATTCCTCCTAAAAATGGTTGGAAAATCTTAGTTATAGTCAGAAGACACTTTGATTTTCCGCATATTCATAAAATATGACTATTTACGAGAGCATAAAGCATACCCGCAGTTTTGATAAGTATATTAAATGTCTCAAAACTTCACGAGTCACTATGTCAAATAATGCAAATAATTCAGCGAAAACTAAACTGCTTATTGCTCCTTTTCCCATGCGATATCTTGCTTAAAACCCAGGAAATGATAGCATATTATGAATTGGCTGGTTCATAAATTCTAATACTTGTTTAGGGTAAATGCTTCGATTGTTTTAATCTTGCTGAAAAAAAATAATTTTTTTGCTTACTAACCAAAAATACAATTTTGTAGTGTATTACCCTCGCTCAATGGAAAGAATATGGATATAAGGTAAGATCAACACAATACTCAAAAAAACTGATGCTAATTCGACTCTCTCATTCGAATCTATATTTTTTATCATTCCCACCAGCAACAATTGAATGTTGAGGCAAGGTAATTTTTTAACGTGCCTGAAAAGATTTCATGCACCGACTAATACAATATTTCCATGATGGAAAATTTTTTGATCTCGTCAGTACAGTTGCTTGAGAAATGTTAATTGTTTTGAGATGCCAATTTTCTGAGCAAGACTTCATTGGAATCAGCGAGGTAAGGTACGAGCATTTGTATTAAATCAAATGAGACTTGAATCAGATATTCTAATTCATTTTAAATAATTTTTTTTGAAAGATTGTAGAGAAATTAGGTTAGGTATACAACTACATTTCAAAATGCCCAAACTTTTTGGAAGACATTTTGCAAATGTCTCAAAGTTTCTCTGGTGAAGAATTCAATTCCGAATAATCAGTCAAATTGTACTCAGTTGGAAGGATACCAGCGAACTATGCCAAAATTTGTACATCTGCTCATTGTTTTGTGCCTGATTTCCCTCGTTTTTGGCGTTTGTTCTGCACAAATTGACGGTGAGTACATTATTTTTCCTGATTTATAAATCGAATAAATTCGGAAAATGCAGACGTTTTATGAATGATATGTATAAAAAAAATAGAATTCGTGGAGCTTTCGAATTATGCCGAGTTGTCCGACTTTGTCCTGAACCAAAATGGAGCCGTTTCCGCAGTTGTCGAATTGCAAGAATGCAAATCAAATGATACGGTCTCAAGACGATCAGTAAGTGACAAATAATATATACTAAATTTGTATTTCGACTGGTCATTTTTTCCTAAAATTGTCTCACAGGTTGTGAGCTACGCACTGGACCAATGGATCAGTTACAAGCCATTCGACGCTGCCGGCGTTTTAAGGACAACGAAAAATTATGTAGCTCCAGGTTTGGATTGAAGGGTTTGCAATCTAGTTTCCGATTTTACCAAAACCGAAATTCAATTTTCAGAGGAGGAATTTCTTTTTGTGAAATACGAGGCTTCGGAAGACGACAGCCTGACGGTTTTGGTGGAAACCTTAGATCCCTTATCGCTGGAAATGACTTTTTCTGCGGTTTTCACATGCACAATCGGATCAAGTGCCAAATTCTTTGCACGAGCTGTGAACCACGATCAGTAAGAATCAAATGAAGTTGTTTCAACAATTTAATAATCGAAAAACTGCATCCTTTTTTTTTTGCAGCGAAGAGTTCGGAACATATGAAGACACGAAAACGGCGTTGTTGAATGGCAGAACGTTACGGACAAAAACAAACATCACAAGTTGTGCAAATGTTGATTGGACTGGGAACAATGTCGAAATTTTGCACGCATCAACAATCATTCAAGCTTGGGACATCATTAATGAAGGCATGAATTAAAGCCTGTTTATAGTCCTGCAAAAAATATTAAACCTCTCCTGTTAAAAAAGTTAAGTGTAAAGTGATATTTTGAAAACAATTGCTTTCGATGTGCCATTTAATTTTATATATGTTCTTTGTCTTGATCAGTTGTGTCCCTATGAAAGTTGAAGGATGAAAGAAAGAACAGAATATAATTAAAAATAACAAAGCACTCCTCAAAAATTATTATAAATCCAACTGTTTTGTGGGGAAGTTTAAATTTCTTGGAACCCATTTTATCTCACACGACATTCAATATTCAAGAAAAAATTTCATCACATGGTAATTTAGGAAGCGAACATCGGCAATTTTTAACCTTTACTAGAGAGGATATTTATTTCAAATCCAGGATATCGTCCATGTACTTTGAAAGCATAATCGATTACATTTTAAATGGCAACTCATCGAAAAGCTGAGTCGTGCTTTTCTGTGAAGGGAGTTTTCAATTTCTGAAGTCAAAGCGAAATATTTTTTTTCATTTTAGAAGGATATCGATAATTTGTTTTTCACTTCAAAATACGTGAGGATATTCTAACATTCAAGTTTGTAAAAAAATATTTCAGGGACTGACTCGGAAATTATAAATATTCGCTACTCATTCTGGGTCGATTATTTCGTGAGTGAGTCAGTTGGGGTTGAAAGCATTTCAATCACCTTAAAACCTGACGGAAGTGTGGAAATGTTCCCTCAAATTGTGGATCTTGCCAATGGAAACGTTGCAATTCCCTTTGAAAACGGGTACACTTGTCAACTTTCTTCGTCATTCCGACTTTTTGCGCCCGGAATCAGTGAGACTTTCTTTCCAATTTCTTTTCACAATTATTTTAAATTATTAAGTGTCTGAATTTCATCAGGTGGACCTTTGCCTGGGCTGGAAACTTTCGGGGATATTCTTGCCAATTTGCAAAGTGGTCAGCAACAAGAGTTTGTCATTAATGCTGAGGATTGTGCCTGGGAAATTTTGCCTGATGATGGCTTCGAACTGCAACCTCTAGTGAGAGCTGATCTTGCCAATAATTCATAAAATTTCGAATTTTGAGAGCAGAGTTATGAATTTTTGCAGAAATTCGGCACAAAAGTCGGCTACTGGGACGTTGCCTATGACTTGGACAGCAAGCGATTAATCAATTATTATTCGTCCAGATACCTAGGTTTCATATTTGCTCAAATTTAATTTCGTTTTCGAGTTTCTGACGTATTTTTTAAAAATTTTACTTTCAAGATGACCAAATACTGGAACAAAATCAATACAGCATGCATGAAAGCGGCACTTTTACTGGGACAAGAAACCTCATAAATATATGGAATGGACAAATAACCAGGCAATTGAGTCCCACATGTAACCTGGGTTCTGGGGTAACTTTCTCCGGCGGCCAGCGAGTGAGGTAAGCTTTTCACCAAAACACATTTCTTGAATTTTGCAGTGCAATAAAAGTATGTTCCAATCCCCACATATTTTAGAACTGAATTGAAAAACTATGGAGAACTTCTGGAAGCTGCTTTGGCAGGACGAAGAGTGAATTTTGAAATATTACTCGGGGGTTGCAATGGGCCTGAGAGCAGTGCTTATTTCGGAGGAACGATTCACGACTTCTACCTCGAGGAGTCGGAAGGTGAGAATATTTTGTAAAAATCAAATTATTGCTTTGGAAGAATTCGAAATTTTATGCACGACTGCTGAAATTGACAATCACGATGCCTATAATGACGATTAAACAAAATATTATCTTTGGACGTCACCTGAAACGCCGACCTCAAATAAATTGAATATTTTAAAAATTCTGTACGGCATTTCGTCAGATTTTTTCGATACAGGCAGTATCCAGCTTCATCTGGTTAGAGAAGGTGAAAAATGTTTTAATACAGCCAACCAATGAGGTCATAAATTATAGCTTTAGAAACATCCAGAAACTGAAATTTAACTTCTTTATCTTAAAGGTCATCTTGACCAGAACAATCGTTTATCCTTGTATAGTGTTGGTGACTGAAGTCAACAACAAGAAGGTGCTGTAAAGAAAGGTTGTAAAGGTAAAAGGATTTCAAGAAAACACAGAATCAGCCCGGGACAGGGGCCGGGAATTCATGGTGGAATCCCTGTTTAAATGTTAGAGTATATTTCAAAGTCCCAAAATAAACAATTGACGATGGAACACAGACAACAAATAATTAGGATTTTTAGACAAAGATATTTAAGAAAGCCTCTCAAAAAACCTCTGAATGCGCTGCAACGGCAACAAGATTTGAACTGTGTTGTATTTTGATGAAAATGGGGTATTTATTAATTTCTTCTCTGGTCCTTGATCAAGGGGGGTTGATCAAGGGCAGGAGAATCTTGAAGGGCTGGGATGTGTGGCACCGCAAATTTCGAATCATGTGACCCCAGCATGTCTCACATACTCGGGCACGTCAACAAGAACCGTACACTGGTACGGCATGAGACGCGGCGCAGCATTCCTGCTGCGCGCCCGGTATGCCGCAATGCGGACTACCGGGTCGGAGATGCAATCAGGAAAAGGGAGGAGGAAGGTTCAAACAGCGTGGCGTGGGCTCCAAAGCCATCAGAACGACGTGTGCTGCGATTTGAGGCAGAACTCTCATGTGCTTTTGAATTGCTGAAGGAATTGTTTGTCTTGCAATTTCTTATCTGAAAGTTCTGAGACTGAAAGTTGTGTGTGTGTGTTTGAGATCAGAATTAAAGAAGCAACTTCTTGGGACTCCCTTCTGGAGGATCCGGCTGGTAAAGGCTGAATCTGTCTTTTATTCAACTTCTAAACTCTTGTCATTTTGACCCAACAAACTGGTGGCCAGCGGGTGCCTTCAAGAGGCCTTACCCTGGTGTCTTCTCTCCTTGTTCGAATTACGGTGTTCAATTTACGTGTTCAAATTTATGCAGGATTTCTGTGCCCTGAGCCCTCCCGGTATGACGCGTATTGAAATTGTACTCACCGTTTCAAGTCCCGTCAAGATTTCTTTGAGAAATGTCGGCCATACCACCTACACTGCAGATTGCGAGCAGGCTGCAAGCCGGGCGCCTGTCTTGTCATAGTTTGGGACCTCCGCCTGCGCCACCAAACAGCCATCCAATCTCTTGTAGTACTTCCAGTACTGGGAGTCAGGCAAGCATGACGTCACGATTCTTGCGCCGCTCCCAGCCAGCACCCCTGCCTGGTGCTCCGAACAAACCCCGACGCTCTGCTTCTTGGGGCCAGGGTTCTGTTGCTGCCTCCAGCCATTGCTTGGCAATTAGCGTGGCCCATCATGGCTGTCCTGCCATGGTAAGATACGTCCTCTGCATTGCAAACATTGTAGGGGCCATTGATCACCTTCTGCGGACACCCAAACTTGGCAATCCACAGGCAAGGTTTGAACGCTTTGTGCCCAATCTGCTTCATGCTGCTGCGCGTCTCATAATGCTGCAGCCTGGGCACTATACCAAAGTTGAGGCGGCCTCCCTACAGCAGCTCGCGGCAGAGGTTAACAGCATCATAGTGCATGCCCCTGATGTTGCCAACGGCACGTGGCCCACGCTTTGCCCCACGCAGGCGCACGTTCTCGGCGTTGCCTTTCCTGTGCTCCCGGCACAACCAGACAATGCGCCCGGTCCATTGGGGTCTGCACCTCCCCCTAGCGGTCAACTTGCTCCCGCGCCACGGGGGGCAGGCTTGCAACAGGCTGCGCTGGTCCCGAGACCATGCGCTCCATCTGTGCTGTCCCCTCATTTCCCAGAAAGTTAAGAGATCATGGATCCTGGGCCATCATCTGTACTGGTCCCACCGACCAGGACATTGGATGCGTACAGTCATGCCCTACGGATCTTTGGGATGGGGCCAGCCCCACGCTTGGCCCATCACAATCTTGTTAAATCATACAAGAAACAGGCCAGGGCGCCAACCTTCCCAAAATTTACCGGGGCATCTGCGTCCGACTACCCATTTGAACGCTTATGGCATGATTTTACTCCTGTCCACATCATTCCTGTCATGCACCTAACAGATACTGAACGCATTTGCATCCTGTTGTTACACATGGATGGCGATGCGTGCCGCAATCTGGGCACCTTTGCGTACCAAGACATGAACATGGACTATATTAGGGTGATACAGGTCCTTTTTGCTGAATACGGGCAAACTGATACACACAGGCTTAAGCTCTATCAAGAGTTTGATGCCTTGCCAGCACCCACTACATGCATGGAGTTCTATGACTACTTTATGCATGTCATTCGCATTGCCAAAAAGTTGAGCACCATTCAAACCGACATGAACCAGGCCTGCCTGCGCATGGGCCCTGTTCTTTGTGCTCACTTACAGCACGCCAGCTTCCTAGAGCTCCTACAGGTCCACTCTGATAAACATGGGTTTGCGGTTGAAAATGAGAACGCCGGGACCGGCGCCTGCACCATCAATACCGCCTCATTTGCAATTACTTTGCGCTCACACTGGAGATTACTGAACCACTCCCAACCCTTGCCTTCCAGGGTGCTGCGGCAGCCCCCGTGGGGACCACTCCTGCAGCAACTACCACTACACCCGCCACTCCGGCAGCAGCTGCCTTGCAGGCTGCTGTTGTGGCTGTTGCCAGTACCTCAGCCACCGCCCAACCATCCAACAGTCGCAGTCAGCGCAATGTCAATAACCCATCAAACAATAATCAAAATTGGCACTGCTCCTTTAACCAACAAGGGTGGTCCCGCTCCCGCAGTCTGGCACACAAATGGCCTCTACACGGATGATCTAACAATCAACAACAAAATCGCTCTCTGCAGCGATCCTGTTCGGATCAGCGTGGATCCCAGCGTCATAATGTGACCACAATCAGGATTGGTCCAACCAGGGCCAACGTCATGGCCCTCCAGACCATAACACCGTCCTTTTTGCGCTGGGCAGCATACCCCCGGACACTGCCCACTCTCACGGCAGGAACAGACGCAGGCTGTTTGCCGCTTGCATCTATGCCAAAATTGCCTGGGGCGCGATCACTACGTTTGAGAATGTCAGGCACAGGGTCGATGCTTTCACTGCCAGCAGGCCCATCACTTGTCCACCTGCAATCAGCGCAATAATCAGAATAATGCGTGCCCTGCAGCCGGAGCTCAAGCCGTTGTTACTGCCCCCACAGTTAATCAGGCGGCACCTGCCGTGCAAGCAGCACCAGCAGCGCCTGATGCAGCAGCCCCTGTGGCAGCACCTGCCGCATCAGCATGACATGATCCGGCAGCTGAGCGCCGCTTGGTCCTGGTTGTTGCTGCTCCAAAACCATGTCCAACGTGTGCATTCATGGAAACAGCTGCCATCCCTTTGGAGCTGTCAGGGTATGTTGCACATGCACTTATGGACTCCAGGGCACAGCTCACGCTTATTACCCAGTCTTTAGTCCAGCGCCTAAACCTACCAATTGAGACCTGTCCTCTGTACGCCATTGGGGGCGTATAACAGGGACAACCTGTAACTACATCTGAAGCAGTTGTGCTCACCTTCAGGGGGGAGGTTGCGGACTCCCCTAAAATTATGACCACGGCTGTGGTCATCCCATGTGACAGACCTTGGCGGGGAACCAATCCCAGCACCCTCCCATGGTTGGAGTCCTTTGCCCCAGTCCTGGCTGACAGGCGCATTCTGACTGACACTGCTCTCTCCTTTGATGTTGTTCCAGGGGGAGCAGACCTGGTGCAGTTACATCAAAATGTTGCGCCTCCCATTTGGACAGCAGGCTCTCAGGGCATCCCTACTCATTTGGGTATTGTCGCCCGTGGGATTTGGGCCTTGCAGAAATTGCCAACTCCTGTTTTGGCACCACGCGTCTGTATGGCACTGGAAACTCCCAGCTTGGTATTGGATGGAGAGCTTAACAGCCTCATCCTCCAATATGCCTACCAAGATCAAATAAATATTTTGGGGGACCCATGGCAAGAGCAGTGCTCCCGCAACAAAGGGTTTCAGACATACTTTAAACATCTTGTCATCAGCCCCGGTGGTTGTGTGGTTGCACACCTTCTCAAGACCTTGCTGTATCCTGCCCAATGCAAGCCAAATCTGTGCACTAGGGCCCAGCATAGCCAATCTGTTGTTGGTAGCCCCTTGGCCACAGCCTACGAGGAATATTTTAAAAACTGGATTGATGAGGGCATTATTGCTCCTACCACACTTGATGAAATGAATCAAACAGGCATTGCATATACTGAGCTGCCTCATCATGGGGTTGCGCGTCCCTCTAGCCCATCTACCCCTCTCCACGTGGTCATGGCTGGCAATGCCGGTGACCCCGGCAGTCTCTCTTGCAATCAGCTCTTTAGTCAAGGGGCAAATATCCTGCCTCGTATAACCAAAATACTCCTTGGCTGGCAGTTCACGGAGGAATTTGCCGTGGGCAACATCCGGAAAGCCTTTGTCCAAGTGGAGCTAGCCCCGGAGGATCAATGGGTCCTCATCATCCCCTGGCCTAAAGTCCAGCCGGATGGGAGTGTCATCCCAAAATTCTTCCGGTTCCTACGCCTACCATGGGGAATCAACTGCGCACTGTTCATATTGAACGCTGCAGTCCGGTTCTTGTACCGCAAAGCGGTCAGCCGCAGCCTCATGTCTGAAGCCGAGCAGGAAGAATTAGATGCCACCACTTATGTGGATGATCTGCTCATTACGGAGGACACGCCAGAAGCGGTCCAAGCCAAGTTGCAAAATGCAACTAATGCACTGAAAATTGGGAGCTTTGATCTGACCAAGATCAAGACATCCTGTCCACAGGCTAACCTCCCGGTGGACCGAAAACCATATAAAGTCCTAGGCTCAGTGTACACACCACAAGCGGACATGCTTAGCATCAGTACGGAGTTGCTAAAGGCGCTCCTCAAATGCCCCCGCCTCCAGAAACTGCAGATTTTTGGGATTGAAGGGCGTCTCTTTGATCTTCTTGGAATGATCACACCCTTCTTGACCACTCTCAAAACCATGCGGCAGCGGTTCAATGAAAAGCACCCCAAAGAGCCCTGGAA